CACAAGCCATCACAGCATGACAAACTGATAGACGGCTATAGATGGATGGATCGATAGAGTTAGTATATTAGCATCTCAAATCAGGGGAAATTTTGGCAGGACAATGGGTGGCCATCTGAAAAAGAAAACCTGGATCCTTATCTTACATTTATATATGAATCAAAGATAAATGAAATAAACCACAAACATTCTAGAAGAATCTTGACTGCAGGCTGCACTCACATCCGACAATCTACCAGGGGAACTCTAATAGCAAGCAACACGGCAGATCTCCATGAGGGCCTGATACACACCTGGAATGTGATACACACCCCCTACCTGGTAATTACTGGTTACCAGGCTGCTGGAAACTACTACTGAAGACCCCATAGCAGAGTCTGTTCTCATGTCAGCACTCTAACTGCCTCCCTGTGTGTCCTATAGTTCAAGCCTCTGAAACCACCAGGGTAGACCTTAGAAGTGGACTAGCGACTGCTGACTGAGTCTGCTGTGTGATAGGAAGCAGACACTTTGAGTGGAGGATACACACACAAACAACATGACATAGGGCAGATACAAATAGCAACACGGAATACCTCTCTGAAAGTCCTTCAAAATGTGACTCTCCCTCCTCCAATCAGGAACTGTCAGCTGCTGGACTGACAGGAACTCCTCCAGAAGCTTCCACACAGTGGAAGGCCACCTTCCACAGCCAGGAGGACGGTCACCTAAGCGGAGGCTGTTCCCCAAACCACCACTGGGGCTTTTAGACAAGCAGCAAGACAGATCTTTTCAGAGCCTACCCGGCAGTGTCAGCACCTCTCCCTCTTGAAATGGAGGCAAGTCTGCTGTGCTTTCCCTGAATGCCAACTCAGATATTAACAGAGAAAGAGCAGAGAAGGAAACCTCAAGCAAAACTAGAGGGCAACACCCAGCCCTAATGGAGGTTCACTGGGAAATGTTTTATCATGGCTTTTGCTTCAGGGACTTTGGGACAAATTTAACAGTCCTATAAACTCTGGGGGAGAAAAATAAGGTAATTGTGAAAACAGAGGGTAGGAAGCAACAAGAGAAAGGAAACTGCACCCTCTGGTGGACAAATTGATTAGTACATGATATTGTGCCTGAGTCCTCTTGATGTATCTGGGAAAAACTTAAAAGTTGAAAAAAGGTATCTGGAACTTTTGAACCCCAATTTAACCAGGAGGGAGACAGAGCCATCACAGAGAGGGAAAGGAAATGGTAAGCAAACACTGAAGGCTCTACCCACCTAAGGGTTTCTTGCAGAAAGAAGTACAGGCAAAAATACCAAATACTGCTGTTTATAAGAAATACACCTTAAGCCTAAGGACAGAAACAGTTGGAAGTAAAAGGATGGGGGAAAATTCCATGTAAATAATAACCATGAAAGGTAACAATCTTATTATCTGACAAAAAAGATTTTTAAGACAAAATGTCAGAGAAAAGATGGGTATTATATAGTGATAAAATGATCAATAAATTGGCAAAATTTAATAATTAAAATATATACACACAGATAGAACTAAAATGGAAAATAGATAATACTACAATAGTTAACAGGAGACTTCAATCCACCACTTTCAATACTGGGCAGAATGTCTACAAAAAAGATCTACAAGAAAACAGAGGACCCTAATGACACTATAAACTACCTACACTTAACAGACCCTTATATAGAACACTATACCCCGAAACAGCACAATATATATTGGACTTCAGAGCACATTGATCATTCTTTAACTTTGGCCACATTTTAAGTCATAAAGAAAGTCTTAATAAATTTTTAAAAATAGAAATCATAATAAGTTTTTTGGGGGTTTTTTGTTTGTTTTTTTACCATAGAGGAGTGACACTACAGACCAATAGGAGAAAAAAAACTGGAAAATACATAAACATATGAAAACTAAGCAACACATTATTAAACTACCAATAGGTCAAGGAAGAAATCAAAAGAGATATCATATATTTCTTAGTCAAATAAATGAAAATGATAACACAACATACCAAAATTCATGGGATACAGTGAATGTAGTACTAAAGTAACAATAAATGCCTACATAAAGAAAGAAGAGCGATCTCAAACTAACAACCTAGCTCAATAAACCCAGGAACTAGAAAGAGAAGAGCACACTAAGCCTAAATCTACCAATAAAGATCTGATCAAAAATTTTTAAATTTGAAAAAAGAACATCAGAATCATCAGAATCAAGAAAACTAGACGGTGGTGGTTCTTTGAAAACCCTTTAGATCGACTTTAAAACAAAACAAAAAAAGAAAATATGTAAATTACCAAAATTTTAAAAATGAAAGCCATGACTGACCTGATAGAAATAAAAAGAATCCTGACAGATGTGGGATGACATCCTGACAGATGTGGGATGACATCAAGAACATCATATAAGAAGAAAGCAAAAGGTTATTAAAAAGACACAGAAAAGGCCAAAATGGATATTAGAAGAGACTCTGAAATTTGCTCTTTAATGTAGAGAAGCTAAAGCAACAGGAAGAAATAAAATAATAGAGTTGAAAAGAAAATTTCAAAGGACAACTTGATAAGGCAAAGTCAAGTATTACAATGAAATGTACAAAGACCTGGAGTTAGAAAACCAAAAAGGAAGAACACACTCAGCATTTCTGTACCTGAAAGAACTGGAAAAAAAACATCAAACCTCAAGTTGCAGTATCAAAGGATTCTGTGGGCAAAATACTGAATGATGCAGGAAGCATCAAAAGAAGATGAAAGCTACCCAGAAAAGCAATGATGCCAGAGATGCAGGCAGAGACGATGACATGGAGAGATGGACAGGATGGGGACTCTAGACCTGTGTGCTGACGACTAGGGGCAGGCTTGCAGGGTATACCCTTTGGTCGGTTGATGATGCATGAAGGGGATGGTAACCATGGCAATGAAACGATATACGATAGGATGAATGTAAAGCTAATATTCTCCCATGTAAACTATCAAATAATTCACAATAAAACATTTTAAAAAAAAGAAGATATAAGGAATCGGGAGTCACTGTACAAAAAAAAAAAATTGATATTAAACTCTTTCAAGAGGTAGCATATACATGATCAAGAACCACTGGTATTGAAGGAAGAAGTCTAAGCTGTATGAAGGTATTGGTAAAAAGCAAGGCTTTGAGAATTGATGAAATACCAACAGAAATGTTTCAACAAGCTGATGCAGTGCTGGAAGCACTCACTTGTCTATGCCAAGAAAAAGGATCTGCATTTGTGCCCATTCCATAGAAACATGACCCTAAAGAATGCGAAAATCACCAAACAATAATATCATTTATATTACAAGAAAGTAAACTTTTGCTCAAGATAATTTTTAAATAGTTGCAGTAGTACATTGTCAAGGAACATCAGTGCTTAATGTCAGATGGATCTTGGCTGCAAACATAGAATGCCAAGAAGATGTTTATTTATACTTTACTGAGTATGCAAAGGCATCCAACTATGTGGATCCTAACAAACTATGCATAACATTGCAAAGAATGGGAACTCCCAGAATACTTAATTGTGCTAAATAATGAACCTGTATCTAAAACAAGAGAAATTTGTTTGAACAGAACAAGGGAATACTGAATGGTTTAAAATCAGGAAAGATATGTTTCAGGGTTCTTATTCAATCTGTGTTCTGAGCAAATAATCTGAGAAGCTGTGCTATATGAAGGAACACATGGCCATCTGCAGATGACACAACAAGCAAAGAGGATTTGAAATACTGACTTATGCAGAGTTCTCTAGAGAAGCAAAGCCAGTGATGCTTATACATGTATGTACATAAAGAAACATTTACATCAAGGAAATGGCTCGCACAGTTACAGAGTTGGGAAAGTTCGTGGATCAGATGAACCAAGAATGGCAAATCAGATGGCTGGCAGGCAGGCAGGTCGGACAGATAAGACAGCAGCCTGGTGACGGCTCCCTGGACTGGCAAGCCATAGAGCTGGACAGTGGCTCAAGTCCAAAGAACCAGACATTGAATGACAAGCCAGATGCAGGATTCAGACCCAACAAAAAGCAAGCAAGAGATAGCAAGTGTCCAATATAATGGAAGCAGACCACACCCCTGAGGAAACTTCCTTTCAATTGATTAGTTGCTCACAGCACATCTCATCATGGAGGATGACACCGTAACTGCCAAACTACCAAAAATCCTGGCACAGTCAAGAAGACACAACACCTTAACGATCACACTTATGAAGATCAAAGACTACAACCTTCAGTATAAACTGTAACTCAGTGTACAAAAAAACAAAAATCTTCACAACTAATAAATACCATCATAAACAGAGAAAAGATTGAAATTGTCAAAGACTACATTTTGCTTAGATCTACTATCAACACTCAAGAAAAGAGCAGTCAAGAAATCAAACGACATATAGCACCAAGCAATCTGCTGTACAAGACCTCTTCAAAGTGTTAAAAACAAAGAAGTCACTCTGAGGAAAATACACTCACCGGTATTTTAATTCACTTAGCAAGCTAAATTACATAAATTCAAGTTCTACACTCTAATTTCATTTATCATCTTCATTATTCTTGTACCATATCATACCCTGGATTTTTACATGTCTTTGCAGCTTAATCTCACAAATGGTATTTGCTGACAAGTATGTTTCAAATATTAATACAGTAGATGTTGATATTCAAGGATTTAACTTTTGTGCCCTCAACTATCTTCAGTCCATTTTAAATCCAATAGTACTTAATCAAACTTTTGTTGTTGTTAATTGCCCAAGAGTTGATTCCAATTCATGGCAACCTCACGTGTGTGGAGTAGAACTGCTGAGAGAGCTTTCCAAGCTGAGCCCTTTCAACAGCAGATTGGCAGGCTGGATTTCCCAAGAAACTCATAGTGTGTTCAAACCACCAATTTCTCAGCTACTAGTTGAGTGCTTAATTATTTGTGCCACACAGAAACCCCTTTAATCATACTGCTTCATATAAATTTTCCAGTGTAAGCAATATGAATATTTTACACTTACCTTTGTATGGTATTCCATAGCATCCAATTCACCTTGATTGAAAATCACGCACCTTTTACGTTTCTAAGGAATAGATAAATTACAGGAAAACTATTATGTTGTCATCTATCATATTAGTCTTGAAATATATTGTGTTTTTATCGTATTTTTCATAATGTGTATTCCATCCTTTAAGCGGTAACAATCATGTGTTAAGGTCAAAATCAATAGAAAGGGTATGGACTACTGAGACAAACATTCCCAAAGTAAATAGAGAAGTAAGAAAGCAAGTAAATACCAGCTTCAAAGGTGATGAAAGGCCATCTCAGTCGTATCTGCCATTAATAAGAACTAGAACAAAATGAAGAGTCTTGGTGTGGCGCTGTAGGTTAATGAGCTGTACTGCAAAGTCAGTTTGAACCACATGTCAATGGGTCAAGCTCACCAGCCACTCCAGGAAATCGTATACAGGGTCACAATGGGTTGGAACCAACTCAACTATACTTAAGAACAACACATATACTTTACATAATCTCTGAATTCTTCAAAAATACAAAATATTGAAGCACAATTAAGTTGATCTTATATGGCATTCTAAAAACTCTATTATTGCACCAGTGTTTGCAGACAGATATACAAACTTTACAAACACATACAATTTCAACAATAGCTTTCTATTTACGTAACTAGAAACTTTTCAGAATTAACACCTTTCTTCTACATTGCGTTATTTGAGGTTATCCCCAAATGATACACCAAAACCAAACTCACTGCCATTTTTGAGTTGATTCCCACTCATAGTCAATCTACACAACAGAGCAGAACCGTTCCCCAGGGTTTCTGAGGCTGTGAATCTTTACAGGAGCAGAAAGCCTCATCTTTCTCCCACGGAACAGCTGGTAGGTTTGAACCACCGACTTTGCAGACAGCAGTCCACCAGCACCACCAGGGTTCCCAAAGGATGTTGTTAAGTGGTGTCGTGTTGGTGGAGCAGCTGATGGGTTTGAACTGCCCACCTTGTGTCAGTAGTCCAATGCTTATCCTACAGTGCCACAACAGGACTCCTCCCCAACCCCAAAGAGTTGGTTCCGACTCACAGCAACCCTGTATAGGGTTTCCAAGGAGCTGCTAGTGGGTCAGAACCACAGACTTTGTGAATAGAGGGTTATTGTTGTTCTGGTAGTGTAGTGGTTACAAGTCAAACTGCTAACCTCAACGTCAGCAGTTCGAAACTACCAGCGGTTCTGCAGGAGAAAGATGAGGCTTTCTGCTCCTGAAAAGATTTATAACCTCAGAAACTCTATGCAGGTTCGCTATGAGTCGGAACCGACTCCAAGGCACACCACCACCACCATTGTTACTAAGTGCTGTCAAGTCGGTTCCAACTCATAGTAACCCTGTATAGGGTTTTCAAGGAGTGAATGGTGAGTTTGACCTTGTGGTTCAAACCAACCTTGCTTGCAGTCCAGTGCTTATCCTACGCACCACATACACCATGTGGTTGTTAAGTGCTGTCGAGTCGATTCAGACCCATAGCGACCCTGTATAGGGTTTCCAAGGAGCAGCTGGTGAGCTTGCACAGCCGAACCTGCATTTCAAACTGCTTTGCAGTCTGGCGCATTAACCCACAGTGCCACACCAAGACATATACCATAGTGGTGGTTATATGTCATGGAATTGCTTCCAACTCATAGTGACCCTGTATAGGGTTTCTGAGGCTGTAAATCTTTACGAGAGCAGAAAGCCTCATCTTTGTCTCAAAAAACTGCTGGTAGTTTCGAACTGTTGACCCTCAAATTAGCAGCCTGACTCATAACCACTAAGCAACTAAAAATCTCCCAAATTCTGTTTGTTACCTTGGATTTATACAGAAAAGGAAACATGTCTCTGAGTTAAAGATGTAAGAAAACATGCAATCAATTTAATACCTAAACAGAAAAGCAGAAGTGTCTGTTTACGTATCTGATTGCATGTTTAATTTACATTCACTTTCTGTGAACTTTTATTCATTTTGAATTATGCAAATTTGGTCTTTTAGAAATGATAGAATATTTTAAAAAGCTAAAAATTCTTTTGGATATGCTTAGGTTTTATTGATTTGTCCTCATACTTAGTAGATTACAAGGTATTTAATATATTGTAATGATACATTTGTGTTTCATATAGAAAAATAATTGTTTCTTATAACTTTTTACCTTCCCAATGATAGAAGTGGAGATTTCTTTCTTAACACCATCCAGTAGACCTTCCTTTTCATTACTTTGTTGGCATTCTTCATGGCCAGCTGAAGTTATATAGGGCTTGGTGACATCAAATAATTCAGATCGAAAAACATATTTTTGTATGAGCATTCCACTACTTCGTCTATCATCATTCTCAGGTTTAGTAGTCACATCAGAAACAATAAATGTTGCAGAAGGTCCAAAAGAAGACACAGAAGTCATTTGAAGAGAACAACACTGGTCAGAAAAAGTGGACTCATTTTTACTGCAACAAGACTCATAATGCTGAAGTTGATAGTTGATCTTGTTAATGAAAGAAAGATGATCCAGTAACCATCCAGGTGACAGCTGGTGTACCACAGACATCTTATTCCATAGAAGTCACCTCTAGGAATTAGGGACTGTAAGTAAATCCCAACTCTCCAGAGCAAGTCTTTAAATACCCTGTATGTCAGTAAAAACATATTTCATACACAATAGCACATTTGATATACAAGTATATAAACACATATTTTGCATTTTTTAAGGGAAATTGGATATTTTTAACATAAGTTTCTTTTAAAAGCCAGAGTCGATCATTTAAAATTGTCAGCCAATCTGGTCAAAGGTGGTTATAAACTGATCTTGTTTCTGTAAATCCAATTTGGTCTTCCTCTCTTCTGAGCCCTCCACAACCTTATGCTCAAGTCCTTGGATGTAGCTACAACTTTCAGCATGTCACTGAATCTTTAAAAGGTGAAAGTACCCAATGAAAGCAAAAAACACATCATTACCTACGTGAAGTTTTAGGAGAAGTTCATTCGTGTTAATGATGTAAACCTATTTAGAAAGGGACCCAGAATTTCCAGAGTGTTAGCAGAAACCCAAACCCACTGCTGTGGAATCAATTCCACCTCAAAGTGACCCTACAGGATAGAGCAGAACTTCCTCATAGGGTCTCCAAGGCTAGAAATCTCCAAGGCAGAAGCAAACTGCCACATTTTCTTTCAAGCTGTTAGCATAACAGCCCTTGTTTTTTGAAATGTACTCCTTAGTCAACCCATTCTCCAGGATCACTATCCTAGTAAACCACTGCTATCAATGAAATAATGAAGTAAAAGAGAATGCAAACTATTGACTAAGGCAGAGCAAAATGCAATTTTAACAGTACATAGAAGCACTAAACCCTAGCAAAAAATGGTTACAAGTTCATATCTGTAACTGGTTCTAAACAGGGCTCCTGGTGGAAACCTTAGACAGGGTCGCTATGTGCCGGGGAGTCAGTTCCGACTCATAGCGACCCTGTGCAGGGTTTCCGAGGCCGTAAATCTTTACAGGAGCAAAAAGCCTCATCTTTCTCCCTCTGAACAGCTGGTAGTTTCGAACTGATGATATTGCGGTTTGCAGCCCGATTGGTAACCACTACGCTACCAGAGGTCCTTGTACTCCTTGGGAAACTAAGTTTTTCAGAATATCCTTGTCTTATTTCAAGAGATGAATAACTTTTCGGGATATTGCTTTCTCAATCTTGTATAGTAAGAATTGAAGAGGAGGGCCAGAATAAGAAATAAACGACTGGTTAATAGAATAGTTACTACTAATAGCATTTAACCTGAACCTTCTAATTTTACCATGAGTATTAGCAGTCTGATTTCAGTGAGCCTCAATTTCATCATTTTATTGCATCTCAGTGAGCAGTTTAGAGACTTAAATAATCCACATGAAATGTTATTCACAGTGCTTAACCCATTTTTGTTATTGTTGTTAAGTGCCGTCTAGTCGGTTTAGACTCAGCGATCCTGTGTAGGACTTCATACGAGCAGCTGGTGAGCTTGAACCGCCGACCCGCAGCGCAATCCATAGCAATTGCTTAAATAAACGTTAATTGCTATTGTAGACGGTAATTCTGGTATTCCTCATCAGTTACCACTTATAGTAAGGCCTTATATGTTCGTGAGAACCAGAAATTTAATGGGGAAGATTGAATACAAACAGGTAAGATGATTCGCCCAAAATTAAAATTAATGACACCAGTGCTACTTGACCCAAGTATCCAGACTTTGCTCTGAACTCTTCTCTTACCCCTATCCCTCTCCATATATTGGGCAGTGCCAGGAAGGAAGTTTAGGGAAACGGCAATTACTATTTTAGCAAACTATTGTGTTTAAAACACCTCTCTCTAGATGGCTGCTTCACTACTTCTCACCCACCTCCACCGCTCGGATTGTTCCTCGTTTCTCGGAGGCCACCACTAGAGGACCGTAAACTCCTGGCAGGCAAGCTAAGCCTGACCCCAGAACACAGGCGGCAGCCCGACCTGCGCGGTGCTCAGAGCCCACTACACACACACTCAGCAGCGACCAGCTCCTACCTCACTGCTTCCCTTGACAAGAAAATGTACACCGCCTTCCCAGACTCGCACCGTGAGAAAAGCACGCATCTAAGTAGCCACCTTGAAAGTCAAAGAGAAAAGAACTTCTTGGTCTAAGAGTCAACGGGAGCAGCCATGTTGCTGTACGGAAGGCGTTTCTAGGGCGACTTCGAGCACTCAGTTCAACTACTCAGAGCCCTCAAGTCTTCAGAATTTAAATGGAAAGGTCGGATTAACTTTATAGGCGACGCTGACGCGGGTTTCTAGCCGCCACAGAGCCCGGCGATGTGGCGTGTCGTAATCAGCACGCATAATTCTGGCCAGGAAGCGTCGGCGCATGCGTGCTACGTTATGCGTGATGACGTTCTCACGGGCGGAGATTTTTAAATTTTGAAGTGCGCTGGCGGGTAGAAGAGGAAGAGGCCTTTCGGCAGCTCCTTTGGTCATTAGAAGGGAATTGCGCAGTTCAGAAATTCAACCCCTAAGTCGTATCAGGAAGCTGGAAGAAAGGTAACTAATAGGTTATGGATTCATTAAAGATCTTTGGGTTTTGTTCTGGCCGATACGGTCCTGGGGAGAAAGCGCCAACGATTTTCGCTGGAGTGACGCTGAGGGACAACGTTTTATTATCTGCTTTGTGAGAAGGCTCAAGACCGAGTCTGTACGGGGCACTAGTTTCTCAGTCCAGTAAATTCTTGCAGTGAATTTCCAAAGATAGGAGGGGAAGCGCGACGCGGCAGGGGAGGAACTGGTTCGGTGCTGGCGTTTGGGATACTAGTGGCCATGGAAGGCGTGCGTCTGGAACTATGCACCTTAAATGGAGATTGGGAATGGACACAGAGGTGAGAATAGGAAAGTTGTATGGATGAAGAGAGGTATACTGAAGAGGAAGAAATTGGCTGCTAAAACCAAAAAAGAGTGTAATCAGTGCCTTGTTGTTGTTGTTGTTAAGTGCCTTCGAGTCGGCTCCGACCCATAGCGACCCTGTACAGGGTTTCCGAGGGTGTAAATTTTTACGGGAGTAGAAAGCCTCATCGTTCTCCCGCGGAGTGGCTGGTAGTTTCGAACCGCTTACCTTAAGGTTCGCAGCCCGATTCGTAACCACTACGCTACCAGAACGCCTTAATCAGTGCCTAGGGAACTAAAAGGATAAACACAGATGTTCACTTGTTTGGAAACCTAGTCAGGTGTGTATGTAGGAGGGAACTTCAAAAAATTCGTGGGTAAAGTCTTTTCGTTGCATTTTTCCAAGAACTTTTTGAGCCCTCCCACCTCCCACATATAGTGTCTAATGTCATGGAGAGATGACATGGGGCCAAAAGATTGAGCTCTCGTAAGCATCCTAGGAGGCAGTTGTTTCAGTTCCTGTAAGGGGATGACATCTTAGTGTGGCCTGAGATAGAGACCAGGTGATTTATCCTTGCTGAAAGGGATGCGAAGCAAGAGAGTGTTGAAAGCACCTCTCTTTAGTAATGGAAGAATGTGAACTGGGAAATAATGGATTATGGATAGAGTGGAGAGATTATCATTAGGAAAAGAAAACAATAAATACTATTCTCAGAAATGCAAGGAAAAAGCATTTTGAGGTGGATTCAAGAAGTTGAGGGGGTTCTTCTCATGTAACGTCTGACTTACCATTTGAAATAGGCACAGAGTCCTGGTGTGGTGCTGCAGGAAATGCACTGGACCATGAGGTCAGCTGTTCAAACCCACCAGCTGCTCCTCAGAAACCCTATACAGGGTCGTTATGAGTTGGAACCAACTCAAAAGCACTTAATATTTATAGTGACGTGATCTGGGTTAAAATTCAGGGCTCTACCTATCATGGAAGGCAGGTATCAAATCTTATTCATCATATAGTCTGCATTGCCAAGCACACACCCTTGTAGATGGTTGGAAGTTAGTAAATGTTTACATATGTCGAATATTTTTAAATGCAATTAAATAATAGGTGCTATCAAGTCAGTTCTGACTTATAGTGACCCTGTGCACGTCAGAATGGAACCCTGCTCGTTCTGCGCCATCCTCACTATTGGTGACATGTTTGAGCCCATTGTTACTACCTCTGTGTCAACCCATCTTGTTGGGGCTGCTTCCTCTTTTTTGTTGACCCTCCACTTGACCAAGCACAAAGTTCTTCTCCAGGGATTGGTCCTTCCTGACAACATGTTCAAAATAAATAGTGTTCTTGCAATGAGGACTATAGAATACATGAATAGATGAAGATAGCCCAGGGGAAAAACTATCTTCAAGAAAGATTGAAACTTGGTTTCCTTTATTTTTTAAGATAAAAATAATAATTGCTGTTTACTGTGTTGTCTGCATGTGATTTCATGAATGCAGGTCATAAGCATGAAGCGCAGTTCAGTTTCCACTGGTGGTGCTGGCCGCCTCTCTGTGCAAGAGTTAAGATCCCAGGACCTCAATAAACAAGGCCTCTATACCCCTCAAAGGTACGTAGCTCCACTTCTCACCTGCAGGCCTTGTCTTCGGCAAAGAAATCAGTAAAAATGGTTAGTAATATCGAAGGATAGTATGAGTAGTGTCTTGGTGAATTTTATCTGTACCCAGTGATGCTTAATTTTGGATCATAAAAGAGTAAAAAGGAGTCCTGGTGTGGGGCAGTGGGCTAATGCGTCAGACTGCAAAGTCGTTTGAACTGCAAGTCAGTGGTTCAAGCTCACCAGCTGCTCCTAGGAAACCCTATACAGGGTTGCTATGGGCTGGAATTGACTCAACAGCACTCCACAACAACAACAAAGGGTAAGAAAAAGGACCCCTGGTGGTGGCATGGTTAAAGCACTTGGGTACTAACCAAAAGACTGGCAGTTCAAATCCACCAACTGCTTCACAGAAGAAAGATGTGACAGTCTGCTTCTGTAAACATTTACAGCCTTGGAAACCCTATGGGGTGGTTCTCCCCTGTTCTGCTGGGTTACTATGAGTCACTCGACAGCAGTAGGTTAAAATGGTAATACATTGTCCCGTGTTGTGGTTTGTCTCATTTCTTTCTTAAATTTCCAAAGCCAAGTCCTGTTTAATCACCTTTGTCTGGCAACCCCTAAAACAAATGTGAATTTACCTTAAGCACTCTGACTTTCTTATTGCTACCTTTGTTAGTTTTTACTTCATATGTGGGTCGCTGTGTCTAGAACTGTCTAGCACACTAGCCTGTGATGAGATTCTCAGCATGTTGAAAGTTTTCCACCTTTATTCTACAGCTGCTTACTGTAACTGTCAGTTTATAGAGATGCATCCAACCAGTAAAAATCTCAGTGAAAGGTGCCAACTACTCAGATGATAAATTGTAGTGTAGTAGTAGCCTACCGAATGGTGTTACTGTTAAGAGCCTACGGAATACCACCTGTCAAATCTGTTTCCTCAGAGTTTTCTGGGGAGAAGCAGAATCCAAGGGCATACGCTATTAGAAAAAAATTTTTCCCTATGAGAGATATGTTACAATACTACCTCCTTTGTCAGTGAGACCAGAAGAAATGGATGGTGCCTGGTTACCATTACTGAACATTTTGATCAAGGACCCAATAGATGGATCCTGATCAAAGGAGGAAAATCATGGAACAGATTTCCATGAGGAATTTCAAGTTCATAAGGAACATACTTATAGGATTTATTAAGACAGAAAGAACCAAAAAAAAAAAAAATTGCCCCGAAATAATCTTTAAACCTTTAACCAAAACTGTCATGAAGCCATCATTAAACAACAGCTTAGTTCAATTGATAAAACATTTGCCTTGAACGTTACACTCCTATAAAAGAGTATCTCTATGAGTTCAAGCGACGATAGTTAATGTAAGACACAGATGATAACTTTAAGGGGCAGAGGGCCTAAATTAATGATAATGAAATGAGTATGGGCAAAGATAGAATAGTGACGTAATTTTTTTCATAAAATATTTTGTAAGCTAAAGAAAAATGTATCCTCTAATGCCAAAGTGTAAGTTACTTGTTCTTAAATTACTTGTTGTTGTTAAATTACTTGTTGTTGCTATTAAGTGTTGTCAAGTCAGTTCCAACCCATAGCAGAACTGTGAGTTTCCCAGGAGCGGCTGGTGATCTTGAACCGCCAACCTCACAGTTCAAACTGACTTTGCAATCCAGCACATTTACATATTATGAATCTGTGCTGCATTATAGGTATTTTAAGTATGTATCTCATCTTTTTCCATCTGATCATTTTAAACATTTTTGTACTGTTACATACTACTTACACTAAACCATATAGTCTGAAAATTGTATTAGAAGCTAAAATGTCAACATGTGTTTTGCCTATAATTTAGATAATTTATGTTATTAAGGAGCTCTGGTAGTGTAGTGGTTATGAATCAGGCTGCGAACCTCAAGGTCAGCAGTTCAAAACTACCAGCTGTTTCGCAGTAAAAAGATGAACCTTTCTGCTCCCGTAAAGATTTACAGCCTCGGAAACCCTGTACAGGGTTGTTATGAGTAAGAACCGACTCCATGGCACATAACCATCATCATCTACCAACCATGTTATTAAGTGCAACTGCATTCTGATAAAACTTAGGCTTTGATTTATGCTTTAAAACCATTACAAGTATGATGAAAGCATTAAAAATTCTTTAAATGTGGCTGTGATTAAATGAGGACTTCTGGTGTGGTGCTCTAGGATCAGCACTGGATTGCAAACCACAGGGTTTGCAGTTCAAACCCATCAGCTGCTCCTCGGAAACTCTATACGGATCTCTATGAGTTGGAACTGACTTGATAAGCACTTAATAACTACAACGTGGTTAAATGAGGAGCTCTGGTGCTGGTTACGTGTTGGGCTGCCAACTTCAAGGTCATTAGTTCGAATCCACCAGCTGCTTTATGTGAGACAGATGAAGCTTCTACTCCCTTAAAGATATACAGCCTTAGAAACTGTATACGGAGTTATGATGAATGGAAACCAACTCCACAGCACAACCACCACTACCAAGGTTAAGTGTTCTTTTACAAAACTGTTTCCCTTAAAAGGTTGTTATCAACAAGCAGACCAACCTGGAGTGGCTAGAACAGAAGATACTTCTTGAAAGAAAG